ATCATCCCTGCTGGGGTCGAAGGTTGTAACAAGGAATTAAGTTGCCAGGCATCGCAAAAAACAAACGGGAACAAAGACAGCCTCGTTCTGATACAGGGTAGAAACAAGCTGATCTAGTAACCCGGTATCAAGTAATATTTATAATATCAGAACGAGATGATTCAAAAACAAAGTTGCAGGGATCACACCACTACTGAGTGATGTTCCGATGTTGCGATCTGATGTTGCAGCAGTGACACACTGACAGATGAGAAAGGATCTATTTAGGTCTCCGAGCCCACTAAACAGATGGCTGCTTTTGGAAAAACAGTCTCGTTCAGATTTTAGGAGACAAACCCGCCGAGCTCCTGCTAGAGCAGAGATCTGTCATAATCCTAAGCCGTGAAATCAAGAGGAGAATGTTTGCTTAACAATATTTAATGAGGACAATCCACTGGGAATCAGCATCTTGTGTACAGCTTCCCTGTGCACACACTGAAACGCTGGAGTCCAATGAGTGCTGTAGCTGGTTACAGGAACAGAGAGGTACCCATTGACAGCACCGATAAAGAGACTCGGGCTACAGAATGAATAGTGGCTCTGTTTCATTGTTGTAGATGGAAACGACACTGGAGGGCACTTACTGAGTATCAGCCTAAAGAGATAAGGCTACGTGGGCATGTTTGCACATTGATTGCTGGAATATGTTTAATCACAACTCCATTTTCTTTTTGGCTCCTGAACTAGGCTGAAACCAGACTCCAGCGAGCATCTGTGAACAGCGATCCGGCAGGGTGCTAAGGCAGGCAGTGCGGTGTGGAATCTCTAGGGTCTCCCTTCGGAGCTGGGCCCTGGAGAGAGAGAGCTAGCAGAGGTCGCCTGAGCCGAGCTCCCGCAAAAGCAAATTAATCTGGCCAGCAAATACTTTAGAATGTCATTTCAGGGCAGCTGGAAGGTAAGGACAGGAATGATCAGAAATGCCATTGTCCTGTGTACGATTATCGCATGTTGAACCGAAATGTTAACCTTAAGAGTATGCCAGTCCTAAATACAGGCTCAAAAGGCTCATCTAAACTGACATTTATTCTGAACAAAGAGATTTGCTTAAGTATACAAGCGGCTTGCAAGTGTCTGAGGGCAGAGCATGACGGGAGAGTGTTCTCCAAAAATGGCCCTTTTCCGTTAGAGACTGAAGAAACTCATTTCCAAACTTCGCTGACCTGCACTGTGAATTCCTGCATCCCAACAAAACAATTACAAACATTCACAGAGGAGACCCGCTATGCATAGTGAC